TTTGAATGAGTTAATCCTGGTAATTCAGACCAGTACGTGAGTCTTTCCTCTCCTACTAGTCCGAGGTAGTTGTTTCGGCAGTACTTGCGGTGATCCCAAAGTATGGTTCTGGTCCCATGAACACAAATCCGATTCCCTGTTTGGCAAGGGTGTCGGCTTTCTCGTTGCCCATCTTGTGTCCAGGCACTCACAGCAGAGTGACTCTGTTGTTGGCACCCAGGCATTCTAGGGATTGGCCATTTCAAAACTGCCATATCGAATTCTCCAATTTTGACGGAACATTCATATTTTACAACCCCAAAAACTGCCAGATACCAATTTCGGATATAATCGGATCATAATCACAAAACTACTCTGCCATATTGGATCAGTCATCTTGAATTTCCAGATTTTGACAAAATATCCATGATGATCGACCCTGAAAACCTCCAGATTCTACTCTTGAATAGAATCGAATCTCAAATACAAATCTCCGTCATCTTGGGATCACATATTTAGACGACAGGATCATAATCTTTGACTTCAAGAACCCCCTGATACCAATATTGAATAAAGAAACGGATCATGATAACAAACCTCTTCCGTCATTTAAGAGTCGCCATTGTGTTATTTCATCGAACAAAAATGTCATGATGCATTGTCCCCAGAATGTTAACCTGCCAAATTTCAATCAATCGGTTCGTTTGCAGTGGGTAAATATCTAGTCCGAAGGAGTCGGTTACATAAATACATACAGGTGAAGCTAATGAAAGCGTATTGAGGCGATCTCAAATTGAGTCCATTTCATTTTGTTATTCATTGTTCGTGGTTTTGAGTTTCCGCGAACTATATGCACGTTCTTAATCCAATTTTTTCAAGTCAAATATTATTCAAAAATTTTTTCAGACTGGATTTTTTTCTCCGAATAATGTACTCTTATCAGAAACTAGAATGACAAGTCAGTTTCTAATTTGAAATCTACGCAGAATCCATAATATAGTTAAATATGTGAGAGGAATATTATTTGATCGTTTCCTGGAATCATTTCCAGATTTGATGAATATGATGAATCTATACCCTCCAATGAACGGATGATTTGAAGGAATGGTTATCGGACAATGAAAGAATCACCTTATTCAATCAACTCATATCATACTGGTTACCTATATTTGGAAACAGTGCTATAGTAGACAAACTCTTCAACATATATTTCATGAACTGATTGAAGTTAACATGTCAGATCATTCGCGTTTTACAGATACTATGAAACTTCTACAGAAATGCCCATTTCCGTACACTGCCAATAATTCGAAAATGCTAGTTATTGTTGTCGATTGTTACAGAAATATCCTCATCATTCAATACTTACCCATATCAAAATTTAACTGTTCTCTGAAATTTCATAGCATTCAAATTCAGAAAGAGGACAATAACAATGGAGGATACATATTTTATTGCAATTCTGCATATTACCCGTTCCTTTCACTACATACAATTGGATATTCTAGAACACTCACACTGTGAAAAATCTGATTTCATGAAATAGTTATGTTTGGTATCGATGCTGGAATTCGAACAAAATGTGTATGTATCTGGTGCTAGGTTACATTGGAAGTTCACATTATTCAACTCTATTCTATTGAGGCGTTTTCCCATCTATGAGATTTCTTCCATAATATTGCCTGCATTAACAACCTACTATAAGTGTAGCTTCAGCTTCCTTCGCATAGTGCATTTGAGCATGACTTGAGCTCGTTCAAGGACGAAAATGAGGTGGATGATCCCCTTTTATCGGGCTGTTTTCTCTTGTCTGACTCATGAATCCCATGAAAGAGGTTTGGAATCATTCCCTTCTCCAGTGGTTTAACTCATTACCTCTCATTGATTTATAATTCTCCTCTTCGAATTATTTTCGTTGGTTGGTTGTCTGGGTTTTTTGAAAAGGAGGATATCAATTGACACAATAAAAATCATCCTGCATTCATCTGCGATGAAAAATTGCGTAGAGACCCTGCTTGAAGCTCAATAACATTAGTTCTTAGAAGTGCATTCGGTTATTTTGAAAACGCCCTGATCGAATTGGGAAATCCATGCAGGGCTGTTGTCAGATTATAATCACTCATCTTCTCAGTGATGGAACACAAATGACTTTTCTCTTTTCGAGTCACAACGGAAAATGCTCTGAAGATTGAGGAACCTTATTCTCGTCTTGACGTGTCGTGGCGAGTTTCCGAAAAATTATCTGATCTGTGATTCATTGTGAGTGAATTGTCATTAACTGAACCACCTGGTATCGAATCCATGTGGTCTGACCTCATATCTCCTATTTCGACTATACGCATCATCGAACCCTTGTGTTCGTGATTGAGAGTTGAATGTTCTAAAAAAAAATCAACCCAAACTCAATATTTCATATGAATGTCTGAAAATTCGAATAGTTCTCGCTCATCATCGAGTCAAATAATCCGATTGTTACAGAAATCAAGGAATTATTCATTGAATCCCTTCACCGAGAATCAGTTATGAGAGATAATATGGAACTTCATTCAGGAATATACAGAATCTGACACGGTAGCTCCAGAACTTTTTCTTTTTGGACAAAAGTACAATTTCTAGAAGCTGAACGCTGCTGTTCATAGTAGGTTTCACAAAATATTGGTAGGTATGCGAATATGGTTCTGTCGGTTGTATAAAATATTATATTTATCTTCATCCCATTTATTATAACACATTAGTTTTGGAGTCTCATTTCAAATTGCCCAGTTTCTACCATGTATTCCGCATGTTGTCAACTTCATGCTCATTCAGGTCACAAGTTCATGTTTCTTGATTATGTGTGTCCTATGGTTTGTGATTTCGTTTGTCAAATTTCATATTGATATGTAACTTTGCAGTGCCCTCATTCCATTTATCTTTTACAAAATGAAGTGTGATATGATTTTTCCGTTTTTCTAATGAAACAAACTTCTCGGTGAGGTACCCACGTGGTTTTATAGGTAAGTTTTCTGTCTGAAGACGCCATCTCAACTAATTGAAGCCAAAAGTTTTGCAAAATTTATCGCAATATGATTAACTTTCCATCTCCATGTAAGTACCATTCAATGGCTGTTAGAAAAGTTTTCCTTGTAGGACCTAATTTTTTTTGTCTGATGATGGATACTTGTTGTTCAAAACATGTCCTTCTATTCCTTTAGAAAATTGAACATTGTGGAGATGACTTTGTATTCTGTTTCGTGATGAAATATTGAAGTATGAGTGGATATAAAGATGTTTGTGACGCAGCCTGAGTGCTCGAGATAGAGAAAGTGTTCTGAAGAAAACAATGGTTTAGATGATGTTAGAAGCAATACATTGAAAACTCACTAGGTTTAATAACATTTTTTTGTTTTTCATTGAAACATTGAGAGTTTTCATTCACGAAATGTGTCGGGATATTAAGGGCTCACGTGCCCTCAAATTGCCAAAGGTGACAATCAAACATTCAAAAAATCAAACAAAGTTTGATAGGCTATCAAAGTTAACCTGTCAAATGATAAGCTCAAATCACGTGTTATAAATCCGGAAAAATCAAGTTCTCAGTAGTCTAATATTAATGATAGATATCGAAGAGACCGTTTCTGAATATCATTAATCTAATGGGCCATGGTTTTAGCCGCATTGTTCTTGATTTCCATAACTGACATCATATTTTCTCCTTATCTCTTCTCACATTGTGAAATCTGCACAGATACTTCACTCGTCTTTCATCGACCTTCAGAAATCAAGGAAACAAGTTTTTACAATATTCAGTTCGAGTAGAGTATAGAAAACAAATTCAAGAAATACACAACTTTTGAAAAAAAAAATTTTATATAATCTTGAATCGTAATGACATCACGAAAATGTCTCGAATGAAGTCCCAATGTATCATAACATGACTGACTTCTAACCAGACAGAATTTTCCTGAATTCTGGTAGCATCGCAAATGTAGACTATAGTGTAATGGTTCCGATGTTCTTGGTCACTTTGAATTCGATGAAATCTCATATCGAAAACCGCATGAAAATCGGTCAAAATTTTTAAAATATACAGGTCAGTTAGAAGGAGTCGAATTATGAATAGTCCATTTAGGATATCGAGAAATATTTACTACATATTAAACTCATTTCGAAAATGTTGGTACCCCTTTTCGTTACTATATCGGCATATTGGCTAGAGAGTAAAACTCTACGATGGTAACCAATCTTCCTCATTATAAACATGAAAAAAATATTGAAACATGTGAAGAATTATATTGAGAATTCTCATTCTCTATCTCATAAAAATATCTAATAATCTGTGTTCGGGATATTCAACAGATAACAATAAATTTCCTGGCTATATTCCACGACGAACAGTGAGATACATCTACTGAACACACATTAAGAATTAGAGAATGAATATCTTCTGAAATTGAGAATTTGTGTGCCGAAAATTTTCCATTATATTATCTGTTTTCCATAGTCAGTTTATTTCGAAGTTGTGGAATTAATGGATTCCATCCTATTATGAGGTACCACAAATGATGAAAATTTATCTAAAATTTTTGGCAATCAGTAGAAAATATCCTTGCCCAGTTAATTTGCGAATGATATATCGTTTATCAGAAAAAGTGAACTGTAGGTGAGTAGTTTTGATAAACAATAAATGATACTTCTGAAATTGACATCATGGATGTTGAAACAATAATCGATGAAAAATGTGGTTGGTTGGTTGGTTGTCACCTGATGTGAGTCAAATCAAGGGCTTCTGTATTGGTGAAACGATAATTATCACTCGACAAAAAATAGCTGCAATACAGAAAATATGGTAAGATCGAGCGACTGATATTGTTTCCCGAAAAGAAAAGTAGAGTTCTGTATAGTCATTTTTATCTTTTGAGAAACACAACGAAATATTTCTTGAATAGTATTATGAATTTCCATTGAATACCACAAAACAAGTTATATGTGTACCTGAAGCATGCATCATATTTTCAGGTTGGAAATATCTCGCATTCTCAATGGTTTCTATGGCGACCGCTATGCTGTGCAAAGAACAAGGGATCACGGTGGCTGGAGTCTGTGCCGTCTATGAAATATTCATAGCTCAAAAGGTAGGTGATCTTTTGTTATTATAATAATTTTCACAGCATTATTGTTCTCTTTATATAGTGTATCTGTTAACTGAATGAGTTAGATTCGTTGTCATCTCTGTTGCATATTTCAAATGTGTTTCATCAATTCATATTAGAGATATCCAATTTAGAGAGTATCAGACCAAATGACACTTATTCTATTTATTGCTTCGACTGAATTGATAACTTTTGATCGAAATCGCTTATAAAATTATTGTTTTGACTGGTCGACCATCATACCATTATATTATATCGAGCCGGTGAATCCTTACTAACACGTTATATGTAACGATGTTTTTGTTCTGAGAGAAAAGCTTTCTTTCATCATGCATTAATCTAATCCAAATATTGATTCGTAGTGGAGGTGTTCGAATTATTCTATTTCAGGTATGAAGAAACCGATAAAAGCTGCGGGTAAGTGTATGTACAGGGTGATTGTTCATAATTCACTCAATTTATATCTTTGAATGGGCAAAAATGGAGTATTTCTTATTGACATCGTGAATCAAAACACTTTTCATGAGCTGGTATTCTTGAAATGATAATCCCAGAATTCATAAACCTCATATGGGTAGAGCGCTATCTCCTGATTGAAAATATATATACTTCATTGAGGTTATCTTTTTGATATCTCAAAAGCGCTGAAGTTTTTTGTATAAATATAAGTCAGCAGTAAAACGTCAGACGACAATGCTGCGTTCTACAGCTTCATAAATCAGAACTCACAAAAATAACCTCAATAAATTATAAACCATTTGAATGAGGAGAAAGAGCTTCACCGATCAGCAAAATGGAACACAGAGTGTTTAATTCGAATAAACATTATTAGGTTCACTTTGCTTTTTTTCATCTCCTAATAGGATCATGGAAAATACTTCATATATGCCTATTCGGACGTTTCAGTAAGAACAATGTTAATTGGGATAGCTTTTGAGTAAAATTTCGGAAATCACCCTGTTCATACACTTACTCACACTTAGTCTCAATATTTCATGTTTCTGAAGCAACCGATTGCAAATAGGGAAATAACATGATATCATTGTTCCAATCATAAAATAAGAAGTGAAATAATCTTAACAGATTAAACTCGCTTCATTGATGATTATTAAAAATCCCTACTCTTCTTCGTTACAAATTATGTTGCTTTTAGGCATTCACGCTCGTGCTACATGATATTCTCAATATCGAAGGAACTTGTTGTATATCATACGATAATCGACTGCCAGCAACTACCTGAAATTCGATAATTAACTGTCCATTGGCAATCTAAATTCATCTGAAATATGAAGTACTGTTATTGTTCAGGTTATTTTCAGTAACTACGTTGCTCTTGGGGGTTACTAAGTTACTTTGAAACACGATTCAGGATTTATGGAGATATCGAGTTAGGTAATGATTTTGTTCATGATTTTGAAATTATAACTCATTCATGACAATATACTTCTTTGCTTGAACAGTTGAAACTATCAAAATGATTATTTGATTTTGTTACGATGATTCTGAGGGAATGTGAGTTTTCAAAACATCAGCAGTAGAATTATGAATCCTATGGGCAAAAAAGTGCGAGGAGTCGAATATTTCTTCACCAAATTAGGAGAGTATGTATATTATTGTGTGGTCATTTGTACTATTCAATCGTGAACAATATGATATTCCGTAGGCGTAATGTTGAGAGACACCAAAATATTCCGCAAGGAATTGCAAGTTCTAACATAAAAGCCATCAGGTAGGTAGAGACAACTTGAGTGGTTGAGCTGTTACGATCTTGCAAAAATGAATAATGAACTGCTCATTCTCCAGATTCACAGGAACAATCAAATATACAGCGTTCTGCCGATTCAATACCCAGCAACACACTAACGTCGAAATAACGCCACAGCGTTTGGTTGAAATAACGCAAGAATGTCGCTGATATACACGTCGTTTTTAACAGGTACACAAACATGATTTCAACTACCCATTTGATATGAATTGATTACTCGTTTTCAAATAAGTTTTTCAAGTATTCCCAACATTATCAGTTGGATTTCAAACGTTGAAATAAACGTTATATGCTTGAAAGTATCAACGTTTTGCTTCAACATTCTGAAGTGGTTGTACATCAATATAATGTGATGAACAGTCAGAAATATAAAGACTTGATAACGTGTTTGTTCCTCATTTTCTTCGAAAAAATTTCACCGTTGGAGTCTTCAACCTATTAGGGTATTTCTACGATCACAAAGGTTATTCGATGTTTCATAAACGAGTAAGGAACAGTTTTACTATTTTCCAAACGGTAGGAGATGAAAGTGTTATTAGTTCGGACAAAAGATGAGTGATTTGAACCTCGTCGATATGACGTTTTGCGATTTGAAAAATATTCAACTTTTCAAGCATTACTGGTATAAAAATGAATTCGAAATGGATGGAACGAGTGGGCGCAAACAAGATCGGGTACAATCCATGAGAGGATCGGCTATCTCATTGGGAAAAGGTTCAATGAGGCCGAGTAAGGTTTGATTGATCAGAAACAATAGTCTTCCTTCAAAAAATATACGTTTCATGAAGAAGATTCATTACGGCCAAGTGAGGTTAGATGTTTTAAAAAAATTGTCAACTTTTCGGAATATGAGTCATTCTCAAGACTTTCTTGCAAGCGATTCGTATCAACAATCAATTCCGGAAATAACTCGCGCTCAACTACCGTCCTATTCGTTTTCTTTTACCTGATAATTCTCCAGACCGCTGCGCTCAATCGTTTGTTGCCCAAAATTATTCGATAAAATTCAGAAAATAATAAATTTTTATTGTTGGTTTTTCTGTACATCTCTTACATTTCTTCATGATGATGTAGCGTGTTATTCATTGGTATGAAGAAGTATTGATGGGGTAGTCATGACGACTGATATTCTGATCAATTAATATCATGGCAAACGATAATAAAATATGTTTTTACTATTTCTGCAAGTGGAAATGTCAGCATGTGTTACATGATGTTTCAGTCCGTGGAGCAATCTACTCTCACCGTATGCTCGAATTTTTGTTCCCAAATAACTATTGTTGCAGCAGGCTGTGTTATAACTGTGCTGTTGTGCTTCATTTCTATATTCTCAGATAGTTCATATCAGATATCGAAGAGAAGATTGAAGTTCTCGAGTCATGTCCCTGATATTCCAGAAATTACAATATTAATCAAGAGCATCTGCATTCCTGAACTCTCATCTGATTGGCCAGATCAGATGTGGATATATAACTGAATAAGAGAAATTTCATTTTAGTAATCATTTTTATCATTCTCATCATTGTCATTATTCACTCAATAGTTTTTTCTCTTCATAACCTAAAAATTGATAACTGCTTCATCGTCATTAGACTTGTAAATATGTCAGTCAGTTATCACTGAGCCATGATGAATAAGCAATAAATTGGAGTTCTGTTTCGCCAATATTGACGTTAAGACGGCTAATGGGCAACTTTTGTGATTCACTATTGAAAAATGTCAGTATTGAGCCAATGATATTTCACTGGGAGGTATTTATTATTCCATGGACGCAGCTTATTCAAATTAAGAATGTAGTCTTATTGAATCAACAGTATAATATCAATTCCATGAACAAAATATATGGTTTCCTCAAAAACATATTTTTCCGATCGAAAATAATGTTGATGTTCATTCAACTATAAACAATTCGTTGATTTGATCAAACAATGATAATTTCGATGAGAATATATCTTTGAAACAACATACAAGTTTTCTTATTCCGATGTAGCAATGAACTCGATTCGAACGGATCATTTGCTTGAATAGAGCAACAAAATATGAAATATCAATGGAATATTTTGTTTATTCTACATCAACTTGAATTTTCGCCTCTAGATGGCGATCATTTCGCCTCGTCTATTCCTGCCTCGAATTCATTATATACGTGAGGCCTGATTCTTCGTGTTTGAAATATCAGCTGGATGAATCGAACTTGAAAATCCGAAATAGTTTTCCATCAGCTAAAGAGAAGTACAGACTCAACATCTATGCTAGGAGTCGACTAGTTTCCTAGTTATGCTTATGCTATCAATGTGAAATCTTAGAAAATTCATGAATATTGAATTTGGTTCAACAAAACAATTTGTCGAATGGATATATAGTTTCTCTTGAATCAACAACATATTTCATTGAATTAACTAAAAATTCCATTGAATCAACCAAATATTTCGTTGAATCAAATAAATATTTGATTGAATCCATATCTTGTTATTTCGAATCAAACAAAATGATTGTTCGAGCCAATTTGATATCTCTTCATGAACAATTCATGGATGTGCTTGATTGAAGAAGATCCAGAGTTTATGCAAGACATATTTACTTGATCCAAACTTCAAATTCCCTCTGAAACAAGATATAGATTCATTCATTTCATAATTATATTTTGTCGTGCATATATGACACTTTTATTTGCTCCATTCAGTTAAATTTTGCTTGATGCAGCAATTCCTTTTTTTCCGTGTGATAAACATAAATTTCATACTATTGAACTCTTTTCTCATTATTTCCTGATTTTTTCATCTCCTGTATCTCATAAACTATTCATTGTAAACGAGAAATGGATATTTCCTGAATAGGAAACGTTATATTGTTATTCTTCCGAATTATTCGAGAATAATGTATGGAGATGACCTGAACGTTTTTTCCCTATTCGACCTTTTTGATGTTCGTTCATTGAACTACTACAATTCCTGAGATTCTGCTTCAACATTTCGATACCTATATAACTTGAAATATCTGACTTTGAAGTTGGGCACTGATAAGCCCGACTGACATCGGGAAATGATTTGTCATCCAACTGTCTCAAGAAAGGAAAGCCATCGATTAACTATATAGAATAGAAAACAAAATAACAAAATTATCATATTCATCGAACCCTACACTAGTAGTGTCACCATGAGTCATCATTTTTACGAGAAAATCCTGAATTTCTGAGAAATGTTGAAGAAATCTTCTC